GTGTGTGTGTGTGTGTGTGTGTGTGTGTTTGTGTGTGTGTGCCTGGAGGCCCCGCTCCCCTCACCAACCTGTCATGCCAGTTGTTGCTCTGCTAACACGCACGCCTGACACGATGGTGACACGGTGTGTTTTGATCGGGATGAGATCAGCGAGTGTTATCTCACCGTTATTTCCTGTTCTTGCATTTTCTTGAGATGTTTATTTATTTATTGTCATTTCCGTATATTTCTCCGACTGGCCTCTTTGAAATGTGTAGTTTTACTCTTCATTAAACATGTCAGCGTCATATTTCTAAAGGACACTTCTGTAACTCTTCCCACTCAGCCCAATCCAAAAGAGTCACACAATCAGACACACACATCTAAATGTCTGAAAACACAAGTGTAGATATTTGATTGGCTCAATGAGTGTCGTGTGCTGCACCCTTAACAAAGGGACATTTAGTTATTATGTATTGTATTTCTTTTCCATAATGAACAAGTTGAAATCAGATTATTCTGAGTGTGTTTTTAAGATTACTTTTCATTGAGATGCATTTTTCTTTTCTTATAATATACAGAAGAATTTGAGAAAGAAAGAAATATGGTTATATTGCATTCTCGCTGAAGTTGAAACAAAATCAAAATCATGCAATAAATGATGATAAACCTTTCAATGTAGGCATATTTTATTTTACGGGTGCTGTGTAAAAAGAGGCAGTGGGATTAAAAATGTATTTCTACTAAATGATTAAACTGAGATAAATGTCAGGTTGTGTAAAAACTTATTTTTCCTTCATATCCTTATTTCTCTGTGTGATGTCTGTGTGCTCATCTGCAAACACCCTGTCATGCTTTTTCATAACACAGATTAACCAAGCGTCTCGTATTGCAATACGAATTGTAAAAACGTTTCTGAATTGTTGCGACTGTATACTGAACTAAAGCCTCTCGGGGGGGCTCGCTAAAATTAAAGACACTTTATAACCAATCACCTGGCTGGCCGAGAACTCACAGCTCCATGGTTTCTCTTTTGTTAACTTTTTTTATTTATTCCTTATTATATGCAATACTTTGTTTTTGCTGCTGCTGCAACGAAAACATATCCCAAGTTTGGATCAATAAAGTATATCTTAAGTGTTGGCTGTTTTTGCTCTTAAAATGTTAATAATTAAATTAAAGGTGGGTTAGGTAATTCACTTCAGAATCACTTTTTGTTATATTCCATGGAATGCTCTTAACATCCCGATAGGCCGTAGCGCTGTAAAAAGCACGACCAATCATTTTAGCCGGCCCGGATAAAGTAACTGGATGGCCTTACTTATCTCGTGCCCTCATTGGTCATGTGCGCGTTCGTGTGTGTTGGAGGAGGGGCTCTGTAAGGAAGTCTGAAGGAAGGGGCAGATTTTTTTCGGCTGCGTATTTTCAAACTCTAGCGCACTCGAGCTGGTTTCTCCATTCTTACCTACCCTACCTTTAAATTATGATTTGAATTCAGCTATTATTAGAAGAAAAACACGTCTGGATACTGACTGGTATCCCCTTGCCTCTACACATATCGTCTTTACTGCCACTGATCGATGTCAGTGAAGGAATTTGATTGAATGTTTTTTTGCGTGAGATCATCTTTTTACAATATAAATCTTTAAAATGTTATAATATTTAATACAAATATGCTCTTAACTTTATTGCTGCAAATGTAATTTAATTGGAAATGGACTTCAGTGAGGCCACTAATCACAATCATGTCTGCTTGTACGATAAGACAAAAATATAATGTTACCTTGAAAAAAAAGATCAGACCAGAAGCCAGCTGGGTCAGGAGGAAAGGAAATATATTAAACATTAAAAAAAAGATGATTTTATAATTATTTCAATAAATGTTAAGTCTTATTTTGGTATTAATAATAAACAAGCTTAAAGCCTAAAGCCTGGTCAGGGCCCTTTCAGGTATTTCATTGTTATTTTACAGCAGTATATAATAATATATCATGCTAAATATATTGCAAAAAGTGCTGATTCCAAACAATGTGATGCTAAATTGACCAGTAAGGCTGTATATTATTATTCTCTTCTATTAAATGTATGTATTATTTCTTCTAAATCGCAGGCTATATTCATTCAGAAATCAGAGACTGACTTTGAACAATGAAGTAAGATGTAGATTTTCTGCTTCCTAAATGAAAAACACAATAATTAAAAGGTGAGAGGAATAATTCAATTGAAATTAAAAAAAGTGTGAAAGCTGTTAAAGTCCCGTACAACAAGATCAAAGTTGCTGTTGGAGCTGGCGACAGGCCCGGTGTTAGTCTACATGTTTTACAGGAGAGAGTTAATGAACATCAGCGCGGTGAAGGTTCACAAGTTCAACCTAAACCCACACATGATCAAAAAGTGAAAAATAAAATACCCTTGGCGACGAGTTCTATTAAAATCAGATTTGGAAAGTGATAGAGAGGGATGTCAGAAATGCATTCAGAGACTTTGAACAGCTGTGGACGCGCTCAGAAGTTGTCTCTGCTTTCATTCTGTCTGTATTAACAGAGGTTAGCGCTCCGCTGCAGGCTGCTATCGGATATTCTCTGTCAAAGTGTTTGCTGCTGGAGGCCTGCTGACTCCTTTTAAATATTTGCTTTCCCGGCATTAAAGTGTATCTGCTGCCGTAACTTTAAACATTCTTCTAAAGGAGAGGCAGGTGTTTCCGCACTAGTTGTAGTTTTATGAAGTACTGTTAGCGAGTGTCACTGCCTGTCACTGGGGCTTGAGATGTGACGCGGTGCACGTTAACGCTCCAGCTTGCCAGCCTCTGGCTACAGCCCCGACATCTGAGCTGCAAATCTGTGCGTCTGTGTGTGTGTGTGATAGAGCTGTAAAGCCACCGTTTGACAATGCTCTTTCAGCAGGCCGCCCTGCGGTCGCTCCCGGCTACAGGAGCCAGCTGGGCAATGCAGAGATAGAAAAGATGAGAAGGAGAGAGGAAGATGAAGGAGAGGCGAGGACGACTGATCAGCGCCATCCAGAGGAAGAAGCAGAACCTGAGAGAGAGACTCAACGTCTTGAAGATTTCCCCCCTTCGCATTCATTCAATAGTTCAAATCTGAAATCTATTTATTCATCCGTAAAAAGTATATTGAGTCACTTACATCCAATATAATAGAAAATACATTTAAACTTTAAAAAATTCAATTTGTCTTTAACATCTATTCCTTTTGTCAGAAAGCTCTGGAAATGGAAAGTAGCAGCAGAAAGAAATGTCACCTTTAAATCTAATCTTTCTGCCATTTATGGGAACGCCTCAACTTGTGAACCAGGGGAAATAGAACCTGATAAAGTAAAGGAAAGTTGTGGAAAATGAAAATGGGGTATTTATTATGTCCGCTTGTAATATTATATGGGTAACATAAATAAAGTTAATATTCATTTAAACGTGAAGCATATCGGGAAAGTAAGTATTCCCCCATCTCACTCTTTTCTCATCCCTCTGTCTCTAAGATCACACACACACACACACACACACACACACACACACACACACACACACACACACACACACACACACACACACACACACACACACACACACACACACACACACACACACAAACACAAACACACACACACACACACACACATACACACACAAACAGAGGAGACAAATGAAAGCTGTCCTGTTTTCTTCTGCCTCGCCTCTGCCAACTTAATTTGCAAATGAAAAGTTTTGTGAGGAGCGTCCTTTTTGCTTCTGGGGCATGGCAGCACACTGTGTGTTTCGGGGTGGGGGGTGAGGATAAGGGTATGACAGAGGGTGTGTGTGTGTGTGTGTGTGTGTGTGTGTGTGTGTGTGTGTGTGTGTGTGTGTGTGTGTGTGTGTGTGGCAGAAACCCAGATGAAGCAGCCCTCGCCCGGGGCTCTCTGTCCGCCCGCGGTAGCAGCAAGCCTGTTCCCTCTTCCCCGGCCCGCCGCGACCATTTGTTCCATTAACCAATCTCCTGGAGCCTCTGGTGCAAACACACACACACACACACACACACACACACACACACACACACACAGACACACACACACACACACATCCACAGGCATACATACTTCAACAACTGCTTGCACAGCTCATACCACACATGGCCCTCCATCCTTCGCTCGATCCCTCCCTCCTCTCCTCCAGACGCACGCACCATCTTTCTTGGTGGAGGCCATATGGCCCAGTGAAGCCTGTGGATCTACAGGCACATCTGCGTATATGTTGCTGCTCCTTAAAGGCTGCACAGTGAGCTCACACACACACACACACACACACACACACACACACACACACACACACACACACACACACACACACACACACACACACTTCCAGGGCTGACAAACACACTGCTGTCACAATGTGTGGTTAAGCAAATGTTGGTGTGATGTTGGTCTTAGGTGTGTGTGTGTGTGTGTGTGTGTGTGTGTGTGTGTGTGTGTGTGTGTGTGTGTGTGTGTGTGTGTGTGTGTGTGTGTGTGTGTGTGTGTGANCTCTTAAAAACGGATAGGGTGTCTGCCGCACGAACACAAACTGGAAGCTGATTCCACAAAAGTGGAGCTTGATAAGAAAAGGCTCTGGCTCCCATTGTACTTTTAGAGACTCTAGGAACAACCAACAACCCTGCATTCTTGGAACGCAACATATATGTTTCTGCTACAATGTATTGGTCTTTTATAGAACAGTTTAACTTATCGTGAACATTCTATATTATTAGTTGTTCATGTCCTTTTAACTGTAGATATGCATACTTGCTGCTGTTGATGATTTTTATCTTTTATATATTTTGTTTTAATATGTTTTATTTTGTTTCCACCTTAAACTATTACAAAATATTGTAATGCCTGAACACAATGCTGCTGTAACAAAATAATTTCCCAACAATAAATTATCCATCTATCTATTTTGAACTGAGACGATTTGCTGGGGAATGTTCTAAATGTCTGAAGCCCTGCCTTTACCTTTGACACAGAACATGATAACCTCCTTTATTGTGATCCACTGAACAGGAGGAGCCTCGGTTAGACGTCCTCATCAACAACGCCGGCATCTACCAGTGTCCTTACACCAAGACAGAGGACAGCTTCGAGATGCAGTTCGGGGTGAACCACCTGGGCCACTTCCTGCTCACCCACCTGCTGCTGGACCTCCTGAAACGCTCAACACCCAGCCGCATCGTGGTGGTCTCCTCCAAACTCTACAAGCACGGCCACATCGACTTCGAGGACCTGAACAGTGAGCAAAGCTACAACAAGGCCTTCGCTTACAGCCGCAGCAAACTGGCCAACCTGCTGTTCACCCTCGAGCTGGGTCACCCCCTGGAGGGCAGCGGGGTGACTGTGAACGCTCTGACCCCAGGCATCGTGAGGACCAACCTGGGGAGGCACGTCCACATCCCGCTGTTGGCGAAGCCGCTGTTTAACCTGCTCTCCCGGAGTCTGTTTAAAAGCCCTGAAGAAGGAGCGGCCACCTCAGTGTTTCTGGCCTGCAGCCCAGATGTGGACGGTGTTCAGGGGAAGTGCTTTGCTGACTGTCAGCCTCAGGTTCTGCTGGACAAGGCCACAGACCGGGAGGTGGCCAGTAAACTGTGGGACATTAGTGAGGTGATGGTGGGCATCACCACGTGAGAGCCTCAGGAATGCTCATCCAAAGACAATTGTCTGAAATCCTAACAATATGTGAATATTCAGTGCCTTTCAGTGTTGAAATTAGTTTTAGGGTTGCACAATGAATACATTGTATTGAAATCACATTATGGACTAGTGCAATATTCCAATGTCAGGAAGCACAATGTTTGTTAAAGGCTAAATATGTGTTAAAATACCTACAGTACATTCAGGTGTAATACATTTTGAACAGATTTTCCTGGTTCATTTCAAATGTTTAATCATTAAGTTCATTTCATTTAAATTATGAAGAAACATTATTTTTGATGCTTGGTTGTTAATGAAGAATAGAGAAGCACATCCTTAATGGTTATGCCATGATAGTAAATAATGGAAAAATTATGAGTCTGTAGAACTTCTCTTCAATGCGTGATTTAAATAAATGTTTTATCGCAGTCGGATTCTCTGCAAATGGTCTGCAAAGGCTAAAATCCCAAACACCTCAATTGGACTCCTCCGTTTACTTCTATAACATATAACCTCACTGTTTAACACTCATGATTATGTTAGCTAACGCTCCAACAAATTGTTTGTGATCCCAACAGAGCCGGCCAGCTGACCAATCAGAGCAGACTGGGCTCTGGTTTCAGACAGAGGTTGAAAAGAGGTAGTAGTATGAGAAGAATAAAGAGCTTTTTGAACATTAAAGCATGGAGACATGTCCCAGTGGAGATACTAATATGAACCTATACAAATGGAAGAATAGGGCCCCATTAAACACAAGGAAGCTGTTCCTGTTTTGACAAAAGTAGTGCAGGAATGAGTCCTAAAACCATGACATGGGTCAGCACACTATCACTTCCTGTTCCCTTGCTTGAATTCAAAGGTTTTTTGAACATATTTTGGGTTAGATGTCTGAACTAATGTCTGTGGCTAACACAAGCTGAGGAGATTTCAGAATGTTGATCTACGACACAAAAATATGTCAGTAAATACCCCAGTGATGAATGTCCGAAGCTTCTTCATGTCATGAAAACAGCGGGTGCGTTTGCTAACAAGTGAAGACAACGGAGACTATTAAATATCATCACACTTACCATTAGCCATTAGCTTAGCAGTGGTGACGTGAAGTTATGTGCCCATGGTGTAGTTCCTTTATACTATAGCCTAGCGTTAGTTTTTTACTTCTGGAGATTGCATTTATACTTAAAAAATCATAAAGTGGTGTTAATATGTGGAGATTATCCTGCTGATCAAAAAGTCTAAGTATCATAAACGTCTGTTTGCCACAGAGCTTATTTTCAGCAATATTCTGAAATCTAAAAAACCCTAGAAAGAGGAGGAGAAGAAAAGGGAGAGGTGGACAAGGAGGAAGAGAAGGTGGAGGTGGTGTAGGAGGTGAATCAGGGGTTAGCTAGGCTTCAGTGAGCCATGCTGCTCATTCGCTGGGAATATTTTCTCTCCAGCTCACCCGCAGATGGAGCACTTCTCCCTGCAGGACCTCAGAAGACATAGCCACTCTCCCAGCTGTATCCTTCATTAGCACACTTTCTGGATCATTTATAGAGAGCTGGAAACAAACTCCACACAAACTGCTCCGGAGGCCTTTTAATGGCCGCCCCATTCTATTTATTTTACAAATAACTCCAATTAGTGCGATTACAGAGTTTAATGGCTTTTAATGGTACTGTAACGCTGATTTAAATGTGAGGGCCTCGCTCAGCCTCAACACATAATGGTTCAATTAATAGTACATTTAACTTGGTTTCCCTGAGCTTCTGTTGGACTCACTCTGTACAGTGCAATAAGCACAACATGTTCAATACAAATGTTTTCCTTTTTCATAATTATAACTCTCTTTATTATGCTTTTTTGAGCTTTTACATTTGGACATACTGAGCTGAGTTGTATATCTATAATGATCCTGTTAAAGGCCTCAGTTTCACTCTGATCTTTCTACCTTCACAGTGGGTGAGGGACATGAAGTAAATGGACTGAAAATCCTACATCAAAGCGATCATCAAGCCATATACAATAGAGGACTTCATGATTTAGTCCTAAAACCCCAAAATTAGTTGGCATTTTAGCAACCAGTTTGCTCTTCTCAAAGTCAAAGTTTTTTCAAATAGGTTTTTGGTTAGCTGCCTAAAGTAAGGTCTGTGGGTAATTTAAATAGATTTTTCAAGTTTGGTTCTACGACATCACATATCCCACTTGTGAATGTCTGAAGATATTTTTCATAAAAACAGAGTGGCTACGAGTGGCTAAATGAGATTGCTAAATCATATCACGCTGAGCATTACCCTCCTTTAGCTTAGCATTGGCCATGCGACCATGACTGTTAATAGGCGAACTTTAGCTCTTTACTTGCGATGGCATTGACGCTATAAAAATCACAAAGTTGTGTCTTTATGTGGAAATGTTCCTGCTGAACAAAATGTGGAAGTATCATAAATGCTGGATCATAAACAAATTTCAAATTTTTTCCAATATTCCGCACAGGGGCAGACTGGGATTGAAAATCAGCCCTTGACTCTGACCCAGCCAAGCCAACAGCGCAACTTAAATTATGACGTTATAAGCCACCGGCTCGGTTCGCTGACGGCCGGCCGTTCTGTGATTCTCCAGAAGACACAGATGGCCAGTCCGCCCCTGATTCCGCAATACAAGGACAAAATGCCATTGCTTTTTGTCGAAAGAGAAGAGATTGCGATGCCAACTTCCTGGTTGGCCTACCAAAATATGGAATCACTGCACCACTTTATATCGTTTAGATTTTGTTTAGCTACCTGACAATCGGTTATAACAATCAAAAAGCCATCAACAGAGTAGAGTATATTATTGTATTAAGAAAGTAACAGGACTTTTAAGAATGGTTGAAATCAAAGCAGATATCTTGGCTTCTAGTCCCCATGGGTAAAGCTCTAAAAACACTGGATCCTGTAACTCAACAGCATCTTATTAATAGAACCTTCCTGCCTGGTAACTTCAGGAGAGCCAATCTGCGTCCCGTCCCAGCTGGTGCACCTGAGAGCGAGGGTCAGCTCGGAGCTGGATGTTCAGGGTGTGACTGCTTCACCTTGTGTTGGATCCATGATGGGGACATGACGCAGGAATCCTCTACCACGGATCCTCTGTGTGGGAGCTAAGTGCAGGGGGACCTTTGGGGGTCCTGGGTATTTGCTGGGAGAAAACGGCACACACTCATGTGTCAGGGGGGTCGAGGAGGGGAGCAATGTAGGAGGTGAAGTCATTAAAGGGGGCTGCCACAGGACTGTAGTTCTGGATAAAACCAGGGAGGCAATGAAGAACAGGCAAACTTGTAAGAAAATGTGTCAGGCGGCGGAGCAGGAGGGCACTGTGCAGAATGCTGGAAAACTCCCTGACATCACCAAGCCAACTCGAAAGAACCAGTGTGATGGGCCGACTGTTATCTGATCTTGTCCAAAAGGTTGCATTTTCACACACTGCTGCAGTTGATAACCAACTATAACCCGGAAATTAGTAATACTTTTAGCACTTTCAGGGATCCTTCGTAAACAATGTTTTGAACATGTTTTTTGTTTCGATTCCTGAAATAATAATTTTGTTCCAAAACATGAAATATGTCAGTAAATCCCCCACTGGTGAACTTCTGAAGCTCCTACAGTATGTGTTAAAAAGTTTGTTGCTAGCAAGTGAATAAACGTAACTACAAAAGGTTGGCACGCCGACTATAAGCCGCATTTAGCTTAGTGGTTGTGACGAGGCTGTAGTAGTTCATTTATAGCCTAACGTTAGGCGTTTACTTCTGGAGATTGCATTTAAGCCTGAACTTTAATAAAAGTGGTGTTAATACATGGAAGCTTATTTTCTGCAATGTTCCCAAACATTTTATATTTATTCTGTCTCTCGAGGGAGTAGTTGCGATGCTAACCTCCGGATCAGCCTACAAAAACAGTTCATCACCACTCTTCAGAATGATCAGATGAGATGAGGCTGTGGCTGTGGCTCTCCATCTTTTACACTGTAGGTGTGGGGATGCATGGAGAATGTTTCCAGCGCCCTATACCTCTCACTGACTAACATATGTGATATAACAAACAAAAGAAGCTTGCTCTTTATATTCTCGGGTTGTGGATGATTTAAAGCCCAAACAGCCAACCTATTCTCTAAAGAATTGGTAGTTTTCACAAATGCCAATTCTTTATCTGTGTCTTTCATCTTCTTCCCACCACAAGGCCACGGCAGGCCGAGTGAAAACAGCCTGAGTATTTAGTTTGGCTCCTCACCTCCAAAAGTGCTGCTGTGGCCTGAGACCGCCACACTCAACTTTTCAACTTCCCCCCAAGTGTATAACAAATGAATGTAATCTGTCCTACCTTTGGTTTTTTATTGTGTAATCATTTTAACGCTAACATTTGTGGTGAAGTAATCGGTGAATGACAAAGTACATATTTGGATTTGCACACAGAGACGTGATTTCCCTTCACACAGTCAGGCCGCTGGAAGTTGACATGCAGGTTTATTTAAGTATATTGACGATTTAAAGAGCGCTGGTTGGACTGCAAGCTTTGAGAGCACGCAGGCACAGATTTGTAAGAGCTGCGGTGGATCTGCAAGGACAGAAAACAGAATGGTGTCAACAGGCAAGAGGAATCATCTAGCTGCATTTGAGCCTGATGAGCAAAGCAAAGTGCTGACTGTCTCAGAGAGTCACCTGTTCTGTTTGAACTGGAAGGGAAGGCCGCCCCCGACCCCAGTGGCCTTTGTTAACCATAAACAGACAGTATTTGGTGTCTGCATTATCTTAAAAATCTAAAAGCATTGACAGTCAAATCACATCTAATATTTCTGCAATTGATCTATGTTGCACAAACGAGACTTCAAGGCCTACATACGTTTCAAATAAATTCCTTTAACTTTGTTCGTTCACTTCTACATTTCAACTAAAGCCGTGGTTCCTTCTTTGTCTGGTGTTCCCCTTGAGCTGGTCTCCATTCTATAAGAACCCCCCACCCCCACACTCAACTGTGGTGATTCACCTGCATTTCTTCTTGTGTTAAACCCTATTTCCTCGTATTTAACCCAACTGCTCATTAGATGAAGATCACTTGTTTAACTCACCCTTAATACATATGTATTTAAACTTGAAATGTACACTCATTGTCAGTGAAAAGACTCACCTCTGGCAGTTTCAACATATTTTGTTAAGAGCTTTCAAGGAGACACTTGAGCTTGTCTTTCATAAGCTCTGATAGTTCTGGAGACAGGACACCAGGAATATGAAAATTGTTTTAAAAATATTTTCTTGTGCAGGAATATATTGCAATCCCTAATCTTTCTACGTAGCCCCCTCAAATACCCCCCAGGGGTCCTCGTACCTCCGGTTGTGAACCACTTATTAGGAGTCAAAGGACCCCTGAGCGGCCTGAAATACCTGCTTTACTTCTTGTGACCAAAAGTTGACAAACTAAATATTTGAGTTGGCATTACAAATACAGTTGTATCAGAAAGTACAGGTTAACTAATTATAACAACAAAATAGTATTTTTACAATATTATTACAATATAATAAAGTTGCCATGTCCTGTAACATTCTAGTGTCCATGTACAGTATAGGCACATATTACATTGAGTAAAGTTATTAAAAGCTCTGTACCTATTAACTTCCATTATTAGAGAAAAACTTTTATGAATGAGATATTACCACTCCACCATGAGCCTGCATGGTATTGGGTTTACTGTGATCTGATCCAACTTTATGGAGGACAAAACGGCTCAAACAAAAAGAAAATAACATGAAATTCAATATGGCCTGAGGCTCCATTCAGAATGAAAGAGTTTTCAGAATAGGCATGCTGCGGGTTTGGCTGAACTTCAATCTATAGTGCAGATCTACACACCCACAATATGATATTTTTAATTGTAAGCCATTATGATAAGGCATATTGGGGTACAGTAAAATGTCTTATATAAATTGTCCTATGGTGTCTAAAAGACTATGGAGACATGACTTATGTCCATGACCCGTGGACTGAATAGCACATGGAATTTATTTTGTTCTCTCAAACTTTTTGTTGTCAAGATACTTCCATATATTGATAGTGCAGTTACACACAGTATGTAATCTGTAGACATGCTCTATCATCTACAATTGTTCAAAGGATTATGTGAGAGTGGTTGGCTTCTCATTTCTCACAGAGAAAGGGATTGGCCTTCCGCTCTCTGATGGGTTAGGACCTGGTTCATTATTGTTACCCTTTTGCACAGACTTGGGTATAACTGCATCTGTCTATGAGCTTCTTTTAGACGTTTAAGAGCTTCTTAAACAAGTTTGGTCTTCCTCGGTCTCACTTGTTTCGTATTTTACTCACTGGTAACTTATCGGCTTTTGACCCAAAGCAAATAAAACTTTTGGGAGCAAGAATTAGAACTTTGTTATCAAATGAGCAATGGCAGCATATTTTATATATCTAGGACACTCTTCCTCAGTCTTTGCTACGAATGGCCTCCTCCAATGTAAGATGGTCCATTACACCAATGCACTTATGCTGCGGATGTATCCTAGTTTAACAGACTTGAGTAATCTCCAGCCGATCACACTCAAATGTTCTGGTCCTTTGCCAAGATTTGAAATATTCAACACATTTAAAAGTCAACAGGTCCCACCTTCACCACCTTAACAGCAAGGCGACCTGTTCTTCATAAGATTAAGTAGGTCTTTCTTGTAGCTCATGGTCCACTGACTCAGTCATTTGTCATGTAGTGTAGCGAGCGGACATCCCCGTCTCTCTGCTCCGGTTAATGAAAGGTGAGCAGGAGCGAGTATCTGAGAGGAGAGAGCCCATCCATCAACTGGAAGAGTTTAGTGTGGAGTAGCAGGAGAGTTCGGCGGGGCCCAGGGAGCGCTTGTCTTCGGCCTACTGCTTGGCCAGAGGGATCTGTTTGCTTTAACCCGTACAAACACTGAGGAGAAGAGAGACTGGGCCTGCTCCTCTCAGTCCCTCCATGGGACTGTCCTCCTCCTTCAGTCAAACACACACTCATATTCCCTCACATGCTCTGAATCCTCTCCGTAGGGAGTGTGTTCTCACTAAAATAAACACAACGTCTTCTCTGAGTCATACAATGAGCATGTTGCATGATTCCTCTTTTAAAAGGCCTAAAGCAGAACCAACCACAGGCTTGATATGTGGCTTAGGTGTACAAGTGCACAAGGCTCTGTGAAATGAAGAAAATCATACATCCAAATATTTCTGACTGAATACCCCAATTTGGATGTTGTGATGATATTTTTTTGTACGGGACAACTGTGTCACAGTAAATGGTTAAAGCAGGAAGTGGGTCTGCAAACGGGGGTGGATGTTTCCAACAGACAGACATCTCACCTTTGTTGTTTGTTTGAGATAACCAACCTGTTAGAAGAATAGAAGCCTAAATCAAGAATATAAGAGTGGTGCAGTGCAGATGTATATTTGTAGTCCGCACCAGAAGTTAGAATCACAGGGCTCCCTAAGCCAAAAGCATTGGATTTCGGAATATTGCAGAAAATAAGCTCTGTGGCAAACGCACTATTATGATACTTACACATTTTGTTTAGCATAATCTCCACATATCAATACCACTTTTATGATTTTTGATACGTCAATGCAATTACCAGAAGTAAAAAGCTAAGCTAAAGGCAGCTAATTTGGACATTTAGTGCTTACCACTGTTACTAAGATATTATTGACATATTTGATGTCGTATGACTAAACATGAACATCTCTCAGCTTGTGTTAACCACAGACCTTATTTCAGGCAGCTAACCATCAACTACAGGGACCCGGAAGTTATAAAATGCTAACTCATTCGGTTTTAGGACTCTTTTTAGAGGGTATTTTAGGGACTATTGTGTCATTGTTTATATAACATTTGTTGAGTGCAGCTTGAAATGTTTAAAACAGCCCGTGCTCAGCGTCACACATTAGCAAGAGAGTGTTGTGCTCAGACCCAGAGAGATGGTGGCCTCGGCGTCCCCCCCGTCAGCTGGAGCAGCACCTCAGGGACTGGATCCACCTGCCTGATTGGACCAGGACCTTAGAAGTTGCCCGTTGTTAATATCACAGTGAATTGTGTGGACATCTCGTCCCCCCCCCCTCCCCCGGCCCTCTCCCTGCTCTCAGAGAAGGTGTCTGCAGAACATCACTGACTGTGCAAGTGTCACAGTGCGCTCATACCACCATACATCATGTAGGCTGTGTGAGAAACAAGCTCATTTTCTTCCTCTGAAAGCTCCACATGTCCACATCCTCCTCTGCACACTTTAACTCAGGATTACACCACGACTCATACAGCAGGGTCCTGCAGCAAACAGCAGTGACTAACAAATGGCTTTAAAGACAAGAAATGGACCAACTTTCTGTCAAATTTCCATCGAGAGGCCCTGAGAATGACTAACTTACTAATGAGTTAAATGATTACCAATCTGAACATTGATGCTGTGGCTCCCTCTTCTGTAATACCAGGGAATGGTTTCTTTTTAACCTGAGAAAAAAGAGACATTTTTGCATTGTCCAGAAAAATATTGAGTACTATTATGGTTTTTCTATTAATAAAATCCACTTATTCTACGGCTTGGAACAACTCCAGAAGAAATTAAAAAAATAGAATCTTACTTCAAATTCAAGTTCAAATAATAAAACAATTACAAGGGATTAGTTAAAAGATACTGTAACTCTCAATGGAAGGATCTTGTAAAATAATGATATGGAATGGTAAAAAATACACGAGATTAAGAAATCAAGTTCATATCTTTGACGATAATTGGGAAAAATGGTTGAGGTATTATACACCAATATACAACACAACACAAAACTAATGACCCTCTAGTTAGATGTGACAAGAAATGTAGCTGTGAAATGTTATGATTTATCCATTTTCTTTTTTCTTATTTCTGTTAAGTACATCTGTATAAGTGATTCGTTGTTCTTTTGTTCTCTGTTATGATTTATCGATTATTTTGTGTATTTTAGTTTGTTATGCTGTTGTGTATGCTCTGTAACTATATGATTTGTAAAAAGGCAAATACAAATTTAATAAATGTTATTCTCTAAAATGCAAAAAAGTCACAACCCCATCCACACATACATATCTTAACACTGTGGGACACTTCCTTTTTCAGTGTCCTGCTGCCTGCAATGTACAGAGCAGCTGACATGGAAGAGGTTTGGAGCAGGACTTCAAACCCTTTTATCACACACAAGATGAACTGTGGGATATAAGTAACACATTTCTGGTCCCACCTTACAATGAATGCTGATGTGAGGCTGCCCTCTGGAGGTAGTCATCTTATTGGCATTCTGAGGTTGGAAGAAAAGTATAAACTAGTTGGTGAGCAACCTGTACTGACTATCTTCCAAGTTGCTCTTATTACTGCTTAAAAGTAGTAGGCAACATATTTGTCAGGATTATGAGGAGGTTAGACTGGCACTATCACTCATTCTAAAAAAGTGTGGTTTGTTAGTTATAACATAGAAACTAAACTTGAATTAGGTTTTATTTACATTGTTATACTTGGTTAAGTAAGGAGAGCTGTAGACATAAAGGCAGCATGTGAGCAAACGAGCAAACACTAAACTGACCTCCCTCACATGAATCTAAGAGGGATATCATCTTTACATCATTTGCTGTGTTTGTTAATACATGTCTTTGCTCTTCTTTTTCCTTTTCTTCAAACTGTTCAATGAAACGTATAGGTAGGAGAACCAGAGAAATCCAGGAAATCTATGATACACTTTCTACATAAATATTTATTGAACAGAATCATTAACATACAAGTCACTTTGGTATTATTTTAGTTTCAGAAATCTACCATGAAAGTATTAAGGATAGCTTCTTCAAAAAATAAAAAAAACGTTGATGAAATAAAACCATGTACAGTAGGTGTGTGTTATGGTATCATCCACCCAATTCCCTTTACTGTGAATACTCCCGAGTACATATTCATACACATATACAAAGGGCTGAAACTCCTTTTACTTTGTCCGCACGAATAAAAAAGATTGTTGCTTATTATTAAAGGATGTTCTCTGGATTCAATCTGTTGAATATTAGAAGACAGTGAGCAGTGCAAAGAGCCCGTAGAGCAGGGCACACGGGTACGCCACCAACAGCTGCTGGCCCTCCATAGCCAGGGTGGAGATGAAGATCTTGGAGGCAGAGAGACTACACCAAGAAATCCCAAGCACGGCCAGAACTGTTCCCAGGAACCCTCTGTGGAAACAGACAGACAGCCTGAAGCAGTTTCACTGAAAACCAATCTTACCTGAACTCACTGAATCCTGCAAGTTTGACAGTTATTGCTGATTTTACAACGTGTAAAACCCAATGATTTAAATAAAAGTCTCTTTCCCACTGTAAGTCACACATGTAGTTTGGACCCCACAACAACTTGCTTTACAGCACGCAGTGGCGTAACTATCGACGGTGCAGCCGGTGCAATCAGGGCCCAGAGCTGGCAAGGGGCCCATGTAAAAAACAACAAAAAAAATAATGGAAAAAAATAATGATTTATATTTTTTAAATAGGAGACTACAAACAGAGGACCCCTTACCCGGCCATCGATTGTACCGCTGCCAAACGGATATGTATATGGAAAACGCTAGAACCGCAGCCCAGGTTATTCGGCGGTATCTCGGGGATAGCGAACACCCGGGACCCGCGCCTTGACAAACTTAGTGGCGGCCGTTTCCGGTTTAGGGCGGAAGAAGAAGGACGACCGACCGACCTCGTTCGGTTCACAACGTTGTCGGTTTGCCTATGGTCGAAGTTGAAACACCTGCGATCTTAGGCGTTACTAGCCCCACTTCCGTCCTCGATAGCAGATCGGAGCCGAGGCGGACGTGCAGTGAGCGACTTGCTGCGAGCTTAGCTCCGTGCTATATACCGATTTGTTTGTTTGCAGATTTAAACAGTCAGAGAATGCGACATGTCGTTGTGAGGAACAAGAGAGAAGCGGAAGAGAAAACTCGCGGATAGGACCCGAACGACAACGACAATGTGATATTACGCGTTCGATAGATGTAAAAAAAGATTAGCGACGGCTTGAACGACGACTCGGTCGATGTATGTCATTCAAACTGAATTTGCCAAGCGAGCAGTGCGTTGCATGTGTCCTGTACTTTCCCTCGTTGCAGTAACGCTGTCGTGTTTAACTGTTTAATTAAATCCAACGAACTAGAAACTCTGACGCACTTGGCCAGTTACGTAACCCGGGTATTATTTTTTTATT